TTCGGCGGGCTGTTTCGCGCAAACGGTTGGATCTATGGCTTTCTCGTTGGAATTTTTAAAGAAACTCAGAAACGCAGAAACTCAGAATGGTCCATAGAAGAGGCTGGCATATCAGCGGGATACTTGAAAATCCCACTCGATGTTCGTTGATGCTGGGTTCTGTTGGTAAAAAGTGGAAACTTCAGAAACTCAGAATGGTCCATAGAAGAGGCTGGCACAGATCGAATATCCAGAGGGCCACGTACAAGGAATATCCGGCTCCCCAAAGCCCAAACTCCCAGTCAGCCAGTCAGCCAGCAACCAACACCTCCTAGCCATTCGGGCTCTCTGGGTGGCAGTCCCGCTGGGATAAGGATAGATAATCATAAAGAAATAATGGAATAAGATAGAAGAGATCTCTTAACGCAGAAACTCAGAATGGTCCATAGAAGAGGCTGGCATATCAGCGGGATACTTGAAAATCCCACTCGATGTTCGTTGATGCTGGGTTCTGTTGGTAAAAAGTGGAAACTTACCTTGCGAATTTGGAAGGATATTTACGAAATAAAAGTGAATATTAAGATATAAACGTATATATATCAACTGCGATCTGCTCTGATCGAAGGTCGATACACAAGTCTTTATTTCAAACTCAAAACTCCTATGACTCACCCCCGGAGTCTTTACAAAGATTCTTCTACCAACATAGTTTTAGCCAATCAAGTGCGTGTTCAGAAGGAAAAAGGGAAGAAGACTGTGTGCTTATACTAGCCGTTTCTGACGGTCGATTCTTCGAAGAAAGGGTCTCCATTTCATCCATCCGGTCTCCATCGGACGGTCTCCATCCGTCTCCATTTCAATCATTGGCACTTGACTTGCTGGCATTAAACACTCTTAACGTAAATCAAAAGGTTTAAATAAACATAACTAGGCTAGACGTCTTTTAAATAACAGAGGGAATACAGTTCTGGTATTTATAACTAAAAGAATGTCTATTATAAGGTTTACAATATAATTTCTGAAATAATTACAACGTCACCACTTGCATGTATCGATTCTCTCAGAGTTATCCTTTCATAACTGAATCCCTTAATAATAATGTCTTCGGTTAAACATATCCTATATTTGTCGTTTGAATAATCGCGGGTTTTGATATCGCTAAAACGTATACCCACTATAGCCGGATTCCTGAACTATGGGAATGTTCAGTAGAAACACCGCTGAGGGAGCAGATACATTTGATTGTTCAAATCTCACAACTGTTTCAAGATTAACGATCAAATGACTAATCAAATGTATTTGCTCCCTCAGCGGTGTTTCTGCTGAACATACCCTATGTCGAACGTTGTCGCACACGTCACAGCGAGAAACAGCTACCGCCATCTATTGGATTCTGGAGATAGTAAAATACGGGTCGATTCCAATTTGTCGTTTTTTTTATCTGCTAGACTTTTGTTGACAAAATTATTAGTACAGCCCGCTTTATATTATCCATAATATATCCATTGGGGCTTTTTGCTTCCTGCTGCTTTCGGTCCGAATGAGCCGACCAACTGTCAGGCATAGTTTCGTGCTTGGGGACAAGTGTACGTGTCATTTTCTTAATATATTTTTGATTTCAATCTGTTGGATCATTAGGCTACCCTGTTATTTCGTAAATACTCCACTGAAAGCAACCAACTGATAGTAAGAGTATGTCGATAGAAAGCAGAGTAACGTGTCCCCAATCATCAGAAACTTAACCTCTCTGAATTGTTTGTTTTTATTAGATTCTTCCATTTAACTCCAGTTATTCAGTTGACGTCTTTTGATATATACTGCTCGAATAGTAAGGTGTACATACCAAAGGTATAACTGACATTCAAACACATTCGGCCTTAAAGAATAATGCGTTACTAATGAATATTCGAAAAAGGACATGAACCTCATCTGCAGGATAACTATCCAATGGAGTAAGTATTTGACGAAATGTATTTCTTAATTTTAACAATCATCGAATATATAACTCCCTTACAGATCTTTTTAGGTGTATTCATTTGGCATATAATCTAATATGTAAATTCAGTTACAATCTTTTTTATTTATATCATAGAAAGAATAACCACATAAACTTCCTTTTGTAAATGTCCTGAATGTTATGACCAAGTTATTCGTAAAACATCGGCACCACAACTATTTAGTTACTGAAGCATGAACTTTAAGGGTGAGTTTTCATCCAAATGATTACTGTATTTCATTCAGATTGTAATATTACATGAGACATACTCGTATCATTTACATTTAAACTACCTTACAGATTATGAATATTTGGAAAGTCTGATTATAAAGTTTCGACTATTTTTAAAATGGTTAGTAAACTCTCCCATGAATTTAAAAAATATCAGAGACATTGTAGTCAATTACAGCATATACTCAAGGAAACGCAACGAATCCTCAGTGTTATAAATCTTGAAAACTTCTTTCCCGAAGGTAATACACCATTTTCTGTTATATCTTTGTTATCTCTCCATTAATTTTACACGCATATTTTACAGAAAACATTGTGGAAGAATTATTGCCACAACTAACATTAACCAAAATAACCCATATAATTGGAAACTCTCCGGCCCTAGTGATATTTGGCCAAGACAGTAAGACAAAAGCATCTCTTGTCAATAATTTGCTCTCTTTTGCCGTGCTGCCAGAATGCAATGGTTCCTGGCGATGGATCAGAATTGGGTATGGACTGGAAAATCATGTCGCCCTTACTCTGGGTCTTGAATACGAAGTGGTAGAAAGATTGCAAGCGAACGAAAAACCCTGGAACACTTTACCAGTCGAGGATCTAATGAAATCACAAAACGAAGATACAAATTGCCCCACAGTTTTGGAAGTAAGGCTAAACCAAAGTTATCTGAAGGACGGCGTACAAATATTCGTTGCTCCAGATGTAACGAACGCGCTACAAGTTTTATTGAGAGGAACACTTAGAATACTCCCAATATTTCTGTACGCATTGGATGGCGAGCATCCGCTTTCCGATGAAATTATCGAAGAGCTAAGAAACTTAAGAGAAGCCTACCCATACGATCCGATTCTGTTCGTTTCCGTTGCAGGCAAGGATGCCGAGTTGACCGAATCAGAACAGCACAAACTTGAAAAACATGTAAATAACGAAGTGATCGATGTTAGTTTAAAAAAGATGCCTGACTTTCGTGGGCTAATTTGGCTCGACCAACTCATGAATCTCGGTTTTCTACGTCACAATGAATCCGTCGAAATTGATCGTATGTGGTTCTCTACTGAAGAACAGAACGCTTCAGCCAACGATTTAATCGACTTAAACAAGATCGACCGAGTAGTGTACCATACACAAAGCTGCCTGGAGAACTACTTGGTCAATGCTAGTAATTATCTGAATGACGTGCACACGACTAGTCTACGGAAGTTTATTCTTAGTGCATTTGATATGGCTCGTGAAATTCAAATAACTCCTAGAAGAATACAATATGCTCAGCAAAAGGAAAATGAGTTATACGCTAGTATGATGAACGTGATGAGCGAGAAACAGGAAGAGCTTACGGAACTTATTCAGAACGTAATACAGGAGATGAAGAACGACGTAATGTTACCGACGTTGTGTTACATAGCCTTAGACGAGCGAGAGAAAAAGGAATGGTCGGCTGCCCTTCGTGCGGCGACTGTACAGGTTCAGAGATACGTATTGACACGTCTAGGGGATCGAGTAGCCAAGCAGCTTGTCAGATCCGTAAATTGTCTTCGAGAAACCTTCATAGGAACACTTGAAAGATGCCTGCACAGTTTGGAGAAAAGTTATGAAAGAGAATCGAACTTGTTGGCGAGCGATGCTCTTAAACAAATTTTATCGGCCGCCTACAACGTCGAGCTTCATCATTCGTCGCCGTCCTTCGTTCGATTTTTCGTAGAAAGACTTTGGCAATTTGTCAGATCGTTGCCGCTGTCGTGGGCTCCGACACCAGTTCTTGACACTTCCTGGAAAAAGAAAGTGACTATTGACGTGTTAAACTCACTTTCGGCAGCGCGTCTTGCGCGCGCCATCTCCACGCAATTCCGGGATAAGGTTAAATCGTCTCACGATACTTTTCAGACCGCACTCCGGTCGCTAGAAAATCATTATTCTGGAAAACTCGAGAGAACGGAAGAACAGAGAGTCGCCATTCGAAAATATCACGCACCAAGAATGGCAAAATTAGCGTTAGAGTCGACGTCTATGAGTGACTTGGTTAGATTTGGAATACCTCATCAAACTAAGGAAATCGGTAGAGGCCAATACGGAGTTGTATTTGCTTGCGACGCTTGGCCCGGTGCTCCAGGACCTTGCGCCGTTAAATCGGTCGTTCCGCCGGACGAGAAACATTGGAACGACTTGGCAATGGAATTTTATTATGCCAGATCTATACCGGATCACAAGAGAATTGTTAAACTTCGAGGTTCCGTGATAGATCATTCTTACGGCGGTGGCGGTGGTTGTGGATTCGGGGCAGCAGTTCTTCTCATAACAGATCGCATGAATCGCGATTTATACTGCGGAATTTGTGCGGGACTCACTTGGCTGGAGAGGATACAGATAGCGATAGATGTGTTAGAAGGAATTCGTTATCTTCACTCCCAAGGACTCGTTCATCGTGATATTAAATTGAAAAACGTTCTTCTGGATACAGAAAACCGTGCCAAATTGACTGATCTCGGATTCTGCATACCCGAGGCAATGATGTCTGGCAGTATCGTAGGAACTCCCGTTCATATGGCGCCCGAATTACTCTCTGGACATTACGACAGTAGCGTAGACGTTTATGCATTCGGTATATTATTCTGGTACATTTGTGCTGGTCACGTCAGATTGCCTTACGCCTTCGAGCAGTTTCACAACAAGGAACAATTATGGACCAGCGTGAGAAAAGGTGCGTATGCCCCTTCGTCGGCAAATCCTGCTAAACTATACACTGAGGTATCCCACTACCTCGCTACTTCCTATTAAAAATGCAACAAGTTTTATTATGTTGTTTCGAATTTCCCTTCAGGTATTCGTCCAGAGAGACTCTCACATTTCGATGACGAATGCTGGAAACTAATGGAGCAATGTTGGGCGGGTGAACCTGCGCGGAGACCGCTTCTTGGTGCAATTCTTCCGGTTTTAGAAACCGTGAGAAAACGAGCCGGCAAAGAAGGCAAGTCTTTAACTGAACTTGGTGAACTCGAACAGCCGCTCCAGCTCGAAGAGACGAGTCCTTCCACGATGAGGAATCCTGCTTTAGCCCTCTCCGAACCTTACAATCAAAGAGGAACCATACCCAGCAGCCCGATCTCTTCAAAACGAAAACGTCACCGTTTCGTAAAACGTCCGATTCATCATATGAATAACATGTTACAAGCGAGCATATGCTCGAATCTCTACATCCAAATGCGACAGTTCTAAATCTGACTGTATACGTTTTAATCATTGACTGCGTATTCATGGAGAGTATAAACTCACTCTTTAGCATCCTTAATGGAATAGCGACGAGCTTTTCTCACTTTAGTTACGTATTATGCATTTGATATACTTCATCGTTTAAACATAATGGCTAAATAACCGACGTCGCTTTTGAATAACCCGTCAGGAGGATCCCGAGATACTGTGTATGCTAACTCTATTAATCTTTTGTTTCCTTTTAATATTCACGTCGGGACTTCCTTTCATCATTTCATCTACTCCCCTCGAACCTATTCCTTTTCGCATTGAACTTGCTTTTTCCCTCTTATTAACCTTTCAACTTTTTTTTTTTCAATTTCTACGTTTTTCACTCAATAAGAAACTGTTAATTGCAGGAGTTAAAATTGTACTATAAGTCTGAGTAACCAAGCTGTAAATAAATATAGTTTTTTAATTACATATTCGCCAACCGTTGCTCGTGTTTCTCTTGCCACTACACACTTCTCAATTTTCCATTATATTACACGTGCATATTTCAATAGAGGTCTCATTTTCTTTCATGTTATCATATTAATATAAAATGTTATATATTTCAGATTAACTTTGTTTGATAACGGAATTCTAAGGAATGGGAAACATGGAATGTCGGAGCTTTAAAACGATACGAAAGGATATACCAATAATATCCAATAAATATCCATCACCGTCGAAACAACCTATTTTGCACTTATGTGATTCATTTCTACAATTATTCTATTCCTCTTTCTTTTTACAATTCCACCCTTCCCAATGTCCATCCAATATTTATAAGAATATAGCAATTAGTATGTTTTGATGTTATTATTTTTATATAAACAAAAGAAATTACGTCACTTTACATTCGGCTTTCAAAACACGTTGAAACAACTCCAAATTTCTCTTTTACTATGTATTTCTATAGTATATGTATACTTTACGCAGAGTGCTAATCTGTTACCAGTCCGGTTCAATAGAAGTAGACGAGTGAGAGTGAGAGAGAGAGAGAGAGGGGGGAGGGGGAAAAACAAAATGTAAAAATTATACTTAACATACAATCTAATTATATATGAAGTAGTTGGCCAAGGAATATAAATGGTAATTTATCAGTTAGCGTTTTATTGCAGCAAATCAATGTTGTTCTTAGCCGTTTCCAAGTCATGGAGAAGTTTACAAAACTGCGTGAGTGACATTTCCGCAAATACACTGTTCCGCTCGCCGCCGCCACTTGATTCGTCTAATAGTAACCTAACTTGAAGGTAGGTTCTACCGACCTTGCTCATTTCACTGCTCGCCGCCGTTACTGTAAAACATAGACACGTTTCTATTATACGGCTCAATAAAACAAATTATTTTCACTTACCTCCAAATTTCCAAGATACGTCAAGCACTTTGCTAGAGGATACTTCCATTTTACTGAATCACTTCTACGTCCACATAAAAATTCAATTCCAAACTCAAGACTCATTCGCAGTCGAAGAGTGCATCAATAACGTAAATCGTTACTGACCGCCCCCCCCC